AGCGACTTGAAGATGATAACCCACATGGCAATCCACGTCGACTGGAAGAGAATCGACGGCTTGAAGATGATGATAATAATGATGACTTACTAAAGTACCTCAATTTATTTTAATTTATCCTAATCAGGTAATAATAATAATAACAATAATAATTCATAATAATAATTAATGATAATAGTGATAAATGATAATTAATAATAATAATAATAGCTTCTTATTGCGTGGTTCAGCACTTATGTCAACAATAATCTTTTCACTGACATTTGACCTTTTTGATATAAAATCGAATACTTCGCATAGAAAGAAAATTAAACATATAAGTATGCAAATCTTGACACAGTTAATTAGTTTATTGGTATAAGGAAACGCGTCAAAAAAAGAGAAAAAATTTTAAATCGAAAAATTTGAAAAAATGCTTGGACATTAAACTTATGCAAAACCGACTTTCCTTTCTATAAAAAATTCCTAAAGAAAAGAAATTTTTCCGATAAGAAACAACTAAGTATAAGGAAAATGGAAAAAATTCGTATAAGTATCGCAGTTAATTCATTCATTATAGGCGAAAAAAAGAAGAAAAAAGTAAGATTGCCATTGAAGATAACATCAACGCAGTATTACTATATGATCGCCGTCTATTATAACTTGACTGTTCAACAAAATATTGAAAAAAAAGATTTATAAGGAGAAAATTTTTGATTTAACAAGGAATTTTGGAAAAAAATTGCTAAAAAAAAGCAGCATTTCCTACCTCCTGATGGTAGTAAACTTATCATTTAACACAAACTTATCAATATCTTGTAATTGGGGCGATAGCTGTAGAGCAACCTGTCACCCTCTTCTAGATACTTCCATCACCGAATGACTTTCTAGTTTCACTCCAATAATCAATGAAGCTCAGTGAAAGTCGAAGAAATCTTAATTATAAATATTTTCGAGAAAAAAAATAAAGTTTTAAATGTTTAAATCTAAAAGACAAAAATTTCTCAAAGATGTCGGTTTGCTTTTTCTGTTCTCTAACAGTACTCATTATTGGTTCCGCAGGACTTTGTCAAATTTGGACTACACAAGCCAGAGGCGAGTGATTTGGGCGATAGAAATGGTCAATGAGTCGCCAATATCAGCCAGATTTTTGAATGATAAGTTTACTTCACCGCATTGGCCTTCCGAAATGAGAGCACAAAATCATTGAGCCATTCTATTCGCTAAAATTTCGATTCGGTTTTTTTTCTTTTAAATCATTAAAATAATTTTTTTCCTAAAATTCCCAGAAAAATGGACATTGCCGGAGAAGAAGAAAATATAGCAATAGAAGCAAAAGAACTGATGAAGGGAAAGGATTAGTTGTCGAGCGACGGCTGGCGGCTATTAATCGATGAACAACAGATGTGCGATAGATGGATGGATGTTATAATGATCGTTGTTGAGTGGACCAGTGGAGAGGGCATATGCACAACATAAATACAACAACGATAACAACTAACACCAACCACCACCAATCATTACCACAAAATAACGAACCCACATTTTATTCGTGTCAATTTCAAACTATATAATTCATACCTTTAACAAAAATATCAAAACTTTTTTCTTATCTCCTGTGGCTAATCGCGATCATCCTCGGGTTCTTTACCAGAAGCCTGGAAAATTGAGGGTTCCGCGCAGTATCTGTTCGTAATAGTGCGCTCTTCTGGATAGAGATCTCTGATGCCAAACATATAAAACCTTTCGTACTTTCAAATTTTTTTTATAAAATTCAATGAAAATTCAAAATTTTGGAGAAAAATTTCATCAAATTTCATTTGTCAGCTACAAATCAGCAGAGATTTTTTTTCTATTATTACAGTATCAATAAAAGCAATATTTTCATTATTTTTTATTATCTGATTATAAAATAAAATATATTAAATATTATATATTAAAAATTATATTTTATGGTGATAAACGATAATGAATGGAGATTCATATGACTTTAGCTGAGGACGTACTTGCAGCATAGGTTTGATTTCATTTGCTTGAAGAACTAAAAATGGTACTTACATGTTTTTTTAGATAGTCTTATTTTTGCAACAATTATTAAATAAAAAAAAACTCGCAATGATTTGGCAAAGAATATTCACCATTTCTGTTTGCGTTTCATTCCGCTGACTTGTCGAATCGGATAAATTTTTGCCATGGATGTACTTGGTGACTGATAGTAGTCAGCATCACTAATCATTATAAATCTATTATTTATCTGCTAAAATAAATCCACCAAAGAAAGCAATTTTTTGTTTTTTATCAAAAATTTTCGCAAAAATTCAATCCAAAAATTCAACAAAAAAACTTTTTTTCCCAAAAAATATTCGCCAAATCATTACGTTAACATTAAAAATTACAATAATAGATTTCGAATATCCAATCAGATATATCAAATAAGTCAATAAGTATATTTGTACTTTTTTAATTCTTTTTTTTAAATGTTTTCAATATTTCCATGCTAAAAATCGGTTTAATTTATAAACAAAATCACTCATTAGTTTGTCTGCGAAAAAAGACTGGACTAGCTTAATTATTTTCAATAGTTGCTCGTGGCCACTAAACTTGAAAATGGTTCATTCATCCTAACAGCGATTGGAATCAGCCAAAACAGATATGATAAGCGTTATTAGAAAAAAAGTCGATAAACTTTTATTGAATCAGGCAATTAGGTTATTTATTAAAAGTAGCTCTACTCGCATACTAAATCTGACAAAATTCAAATTGAATTATATAGATTTGTCAAATTTTAGGAATTTAGCAATTCACTAAATTCCTTTGCAATCAAATATAATCGCCAATCAGTTAATCGATCAGTTGAGATTTCATGTTGAGATAAATGTATCATGTTCTTCAAATTTTGATACACCAAGCTCAGTCAAACTATATACTATTTATTTGTTGTATAAGGGATATTTCGTTACTTGCTAAACCACTACGGATTATCAAAAGCAAGGAAAATTAGCCAAGGAAAAATCTGCACTGGTAGGGCAGGAAATTTTGAACGTATAGGAGAATAAGAGAATCAGCCATATATGGATTTAGACGATGGAAAAAGAATAGGTTCTATTATTGCCAACAATAGCATCGGATCGAAATAGCTTGGAAATACTTTACCTTTATAACCATCTATAACCTACTATAGTGAAACCTATCAGAAGACAAAGAGTAGGTTGCTGTTGTGATGTCGAAGCGCCAGTTCTGGGATTCTGCTCCCGGTAGAAATAAATCTCTTTTGAAAGACTAAGCGATGCTGACGAATTATCTGAAGCAAATGAATATCTCCATGGAAAAATCTGTTTAGCCCTGGAAAAAAAAATTAACCCACAATCCCTTTTTTACCATATGCAAAACAATTTACTTAATGAACTAATTTTTCAAATCGTCAACCAATTTTTCATCACTGAATAATAATACAAAACATGTAATACCGAAAGCTATTAGTAATTCATCGTAACGACGGATAATGAATATGAAAAAAATGATAATTACAACGAGATTAAATTCACAAATAACAGATAGAAAGAAAATCTAAGTCCCTAATTCTTGAAATTGAACGTAGAAAGAAGAAAAAAACTGCTCTAACCACGAGCTTCGTTAGTGAAGCTTCGGGAAAATGCTGGTTTAAGGGCATAAGGAGGTAAGCCTAAGCCTAAGCGGATATCAAAAAAATATAACTGGACCGAGCATTAACTGGTATAAGATGGTGAAAACAATGGGATCTGTGGACTGATAGACTTACTGACACAACAAGGTTTACAACGTTAGGTGCAGGAAAGGGGAAGTTAAGGGAATAAAATGAGATATAAAGTTAGGCCCTCTTAGTTGGGCCCTCTTTGGGAAAATATTAATCATATAATCGATATTATGAAATTAAGAACATCAGGTATCATCGAATATTTCTGATTTTTTTCTAATCTCTACAAGACTTGCAAGATTAAAAATGTATGAAGCTGTGGTTTTATAAATCGGGCTAAGCAAGCTAAAAACCGTTTAACATTACATGACAAAAAAGCTGCATCTGATAATAATGTCCATTCATTGCAAAACGGACGATATAATGATAAATAGGCCGTTTTATCAAATATTCTAAATGACCACTATTACCTATTACAAGTAAAAGGTACCAATATTCGACTTTAAAAGAATACAAGACATGCTCATGGGTACCAAAAGTATGAAAATGTAGTTTGCACTCTAGCTTATAATCTTATGCGCGAATCTTCGCTTTTAGATTTTTTTCTAAGCGCACTTCTGGTTAGAATAATTTTGCCAGAACAATGAAATTTTGCCAGAGGGGTGATGGAAGTATAGGTGAATTGCCAGAACCACCAAGATTTTTGAAATATTTACTCCTTCGAAATGACAACAATAATAGAATGAGCCATTCCACGCCTTTCTTTGTGTTATTCTTCGTGAACATGTCGATGTTTCGAAATAATTTCCTTCAAGATTTGAAAATCTATTCGACAAAACAGTAATGACAAATGATAAAGATTATTGTGAGAGAATCGTCCACAATGAAATTAGGTTGATTTAAAATATCCTTGAAGATGTTCTGATAGATTATTTTACTGTCATGCTCATTTGTATCGAAATTTCAAAAACAAAATTTCAGCAAAAGAAAAGCAGAACGGTAAAGTTGGCAAAGTGAAATTCTATGAATATGGCGTATCCACTGCGATTTATATTGAACTTTTAAGCTGATTTCGACATTTTCAGTGGTTTAGCACAGTGAGGGATTTATCCACTGGAATGAGAGAAGTGGAACATCCATAATTTTTTAAAGATCAGATTCCTGGCGGTGGTTCATGATTCAAATCCTGGTACTTCCAGATAATCACCCCACCCAGTTACTGCGTTTCTACTACCTTGCACTAATAAAAATAGATTGATTTAAACATAAAAAGGCTATAAAAGTTTTATTATAAATATAATTTAAAGCTAAACACTAAACAATGAACTATAAAGAAAAAACGGAGAATTTATTTCATGATTTTGTCGAGGTGAACTTCCACTGCCTTAAAAATTTCGTCAACGCTTCCTTCCGATGGTATCTGCAAACTAACATTTACTTTATATATATTTATATATATATTTTTATTTGAACAAATATTTACTTAAATATTTACTTTGGCTAATTTTCCTTTCTTCGCATAATGCTCAACAACGGGAGCAGTTGATGTGATATACGTATGTAAACGTTTTTTGATAGTTTCAATATTATCGTCTACTCGTCCACTGAAATGAAAATTTTTTAAAACTTTTTTAAAAAATTAAATTTTTTAAAACTTAAATTTTATTAAAAATCTTGGGTAACAGTGCTAATGATCCACTTTTACTTCTTTCGCCAAATGGCTTCCTTGCAAAATTGTCTAATGCAATGAATTTAATTAGAAATTTTGAGCGCTCTTAGGAAAAAATGATAAAATATATAAATATAAAAAATAAAAGTGCAAAATTAAGTAAAAATGAGTAAAAGTAAATTAAGTAAAAGTGATGAGTATAAAAAACCTTGTTTCAGCCCTATGTAAACATCGTTTTACAAGTGTATCTTCACATACATCGAAAAAAAGTACGAGTTTCGCTTCTTGAATCTAAATTATTTTAGAAATATTGGTATTTATTAAGTTAAATATTAAATAAATAAGCAAATAGGTAAATTAAATTATTTTATAATAGTAATGCAAAATCTTTGGCCAGAAAAATAGAGCTTTGTACCTCGCTTTCGAATTGATCACCCTGTTTTATTTCTCGAGGATAACCGTCAATAAGAAATCCTTTTGTACCTTTTTTCACTGCAGCTAACATCGCTTCTTTAATTAAATCAAGAACCACTTCCTTAAAATTAACTGTCAGAGATTCACTTAAAATTAACAAACTCGAGTAATACTACTCGGATGCTGCAGGCAACTCACTTGTACTTTTAACGCCAAGGGGTTCCTAGGCATATTTGTTTAATCTGAACAATACAAATATTGAAATTTATACAACAATAATATCGTCGAGGGAAACCATCACCCGTTTTTGATTATTGATTATTGTACTTGATGAAAATACAATTTTTTTATAAAAATATCACAAAATATAGTTAAAATTTTAAAAAATTTATGTTAAACAATTGAATTGCATTAATTCCTCCATAAAATTTGGATTCGGAAAAATTATTATTATTGTAATTATAATTATTAAATAATAAAAAAAATACGAATTAAAAAAATTGACAAACCAGTGGCACAAGTTCACCATTTTCCATCATTTTGTTAAGTTGAGCACCTCTTGGTGAACCAGATTTAACCTCGGCCCTTAGAAGATCACCCGAACTTAAATGAGTCAAATGATATTTTGCAACGATTTTGTCACACTGTGTTCCTTTTCCAGAACCAGGTCCACCTAAAACGAATTTACTGACAAATATCTTTTTTCGCGATTATCACTTTCGACTTTTGTGCCATTTAAAAACTATTTCAACAAATGTTCATGAAATAAAAATGCAATAAATCTAAGAAAAATTCACAAACCAACAATAAAAAAAATTGGCAGATTTGCTTTTTTTAGCTCGGACAAGTCGATCTTTTTGCGTTCGATTGGTGCCTTAAAACCAAAAAAATTAAAATTAAATATTAAAAAACTAAATATTTAGAAAATTAATTGCAAATTAAATTAAAATTTAATTTAAATTTAAAATTCGAATTCAAAACGTTTTGTTTTTTTTAAAAATAAGGAAAAAATAAAGAAAATTTTAAATTTTTATAAATTTAAAAAAATAAATAAAATGTCTTTTTAAATAAATTTTTTCTGAAATTAGCTTAAAAATGTTTGCAAATTTTTATTTTATTAAATTTTTATTTAATTTTTATAAATTTAAAAGTATAAATAAAGAAATATTTTCCAAAATTTTTTTATAAAAAATTTATTAACAAAAAAGAAATATGAAATAAAATTAAATAAAATTTTAAAAATTCATCGATTTTAACTTAGAAATTTAATTAAATAAATAAGCATTAATTAAATAAATAAAATTTCAATTTTATAAATTTTCATATAAAAGAGTATTTACTAGGAAAATAGTGAAATATTGATCTTTAAAATCACTCATGAAATGGAATTTTTTCGAAAATTTTTTAAAAATTAAGTTAAATAAATCAAAATTTTAATTAATTTTGATTTGATATTATAAAAATATGTTTAAAAGTGCATAAATTTTTTTCAAAAAAAAATTTGCGTAAATTTTAGTAAATTTTACATTAATTTTACATTAAAAGCGTTTTAAATTGAAATCTTTAAAATTTTATGTTAAAAATGAATTAATAAAAAAAAATTAAAAATTATCGTTTAACGTGAATGATAAAATATAAATATTAAAAATTTATTTCTCAACAAATCAATTAAAATCAATAAATTTTTTCATTAATAAACAAATGCAAATTTAAAATAAATTTGTAAATTTATCATGGAATTGAATTTTACACGATTTGAATTGAAAATTTACTTATTTATTTACATATTCATCATAATTCATAAATGCCAAAAATAGCACTGAGAATGTCACGAAGTAACAATAATATTTTCAAAAATGAATTTGACAATTTCTAAAACTGACAATAAAGATGTCAAAAAAAGTCTGACGAAAATTGCCAAAATTGGCATTAAAAACTTCAAATTATGGATTCAAATTATGAATGCTTTGATCTGATTTTTTTAAAAATTAGTTCATTGCATTTATTATTGATTATTTTTATTATTGGAATTTATTTATCATTATTAAAAATTATTTTACATTTATGTGATATGTTTAATTCTTTTATTTATCAATTTCATTTTGCTATAATTAAATTTTTTCATTTTTAGAAAAATTAAATAACATAAAATTATTAAATTTGGCTCAAATATCGAAATTGCGTTGAAATTTAATAAACAATAAATAAATTTTTAATAAATAAATCAGCGAAATTTCCGAATTTAATAAATAAATAAAAAACTACAAACTAACCATATCGAAAGAGTAGAGAACAAACGTTGGCTGGTTGGTTCGTTGTTGGTTCGTTGCTTAGTTGATTGGTCGGCGATCGGTTGCTAGTTGGTTTAGTTAGTTAGTTAGTTGAAAATTAAGAAAATGATGAAAATAGCAGATTGAGATTCGTCTTGTTAGAAGAGATTTACAGGTGTATAAGAAATCGTAAAATTATACGAAAATTGTGTAAAATTTTTCTCGGAACTTTTTTGATTTTACAAGGTATTCAGAAATCTATGTTGACAATAACTGCAATACCGAATTTTCTTCATTTTCACTCTTCACTGATTCCAATGACACAGATTTTTTTCACCGAACAGTCACCTTAGGGCAGCTGGGTCCACAGTCACTCGTTGAATCGACAACAATTTTTTTATTTATAATAAATTAATATATACAGTCGAAAATACTAATTTAATTAATATAAATAAAAAACAATTTAGTATTTAGAAACTCTAACTGCACGAAATTTTTGCAACAATTTTGCACTTTTTTTGCATCGATTTGCGCTTATTTCATATCGATTGCAACAAATGAATCGAAGAATCAATATTCAAGGAGCACGCATAAAAAATTTGTTAAAAATTCGAAATTATTTATTTTATTCTATAAGTAATAATATTAATAAAAATAAAAAATAAAAATGTATTTTTTATTAGCAAAAAAGTTAATTCGAGTCTCATGCATATTATTATTTTTTTATAAAACAAGATTTTTGAAAAAAAATTTTTATTATTCTCGAAAAAAAAAAGTTTCGTTATTTTATACATTTTATTATTAATAATCTGATATAAAATAATGGAAGAAATATGATAAATAATTTTTAAATAATTCTTCTTCTAACAGCTCTCACCACTGCTAATTAGGATGGCTCAGTTGGCTGCGAGGCTTAGACGGTTAGACGTTTCCAAGCAGCACACTCAATTTGATGCATCGCTGGTAGTAATAGAAGCCGTTTGTTTTTCACCGTCTACGTCCATATATCGCTGGTTTCCTATACTTTCGAAGTCTTTCCTGATCGTATCAGTCTAGGTTTTGATTGGCCCACCTAGCTCACCACACATTACAGGGTTTAGCGCATAACGAAATATGTGTCAACTCCTATGGTGGGCAAAGTGCTCTAACTAGCGAAGGTGACGCTCTACGATGGTACTGTTAATGCAAGTGGTATTTGAGCGAAGCTGGATGCATTCATATGAGATTTCATTCGGTTTGCGAACTCGTAAAATGTGTCTTATACATGAGTGGTGAAAGGCAGATAATTTCTTAATTTCTTTATATCCTCCTTTTTTATCGGTCATTTCTCATAGCCATATAGCTTTTTGTATATAAGACCGAATCGCAACTATATGTATGTGGTTTTTATGGTGATTTCGCGATGGCGCCATGAAAAGTTCGGAAGAAGGCATTTCTAGTTAGCGTTATCCTGGTTCAGTATCAATTTCGTTTTTTGCTCAGCCATTTGGAATGGATCAGAGATACTTAAAATCGAGCATTTCCTCAATGAATTTATAAAAATTGGTATTTTATCAGCTTCTTATATGACGAGAAGACTTTCTCGTTTTATTTACGTTGATACTGAGTCCTATTTTTGCTGCAGTTATTGACACATTGTTTAGTATTATTTGCATTTCATCATAACTATAAGCAAAAAGGACTACATTATCAGCGTATTCAAGATCTGCGATGTCCATTATCAGTCTATCGCATAGTTAGTTTTTATTTCGAAGGAGTCTGTCAGCTCCCCATGTACACAGACCTGCGCCGACATACGCTCATAAAATGCCTTTATGAGTCGAATGATCTTTGGTACATTATTGCATTCCATCACCGTCCAAAGCGCTGTTCTATCATTTGAATCGAAGATGGCTCTAAGGTCGATGAAATGTGTAACGGAGGGCTGCAGATATTTGAAATGGTGTTCCATCACCCTTCTTAGCGTAAATATCTAGTCAACACAACCGCATCTCAGTCTGAAACTAGTTTGAATAGAGCGAATCCTGTTGCCACAAATCTATTCAGCAAGAAGGAAGCGAAAATCTTTTCGGAGATGTCTAATAGCCTGATTCCTCGATAATTACAATATTTCCTGTCCTTTATTAGGAAGTTGGAAGCAGTATGGCTTTGCTCCAGTCATCTGGTATTTTCTTTTAGCCATACCAAAGATGAGCACATTTGTTGAAAATGCGGTGCGAATGGCAATAACATTTAAAGTGTTCGGAGACCATAGACGATTTTCTTTCGGAGTTTTATTGGCCTTAAGCTTATGTAATGGGAATTACTTCCTTTTCTGTTGGCGGTTTGTAATCAAATTTCGCCTCAAATAATTCTTTCCATCTGAACGATCTTTAATACTCTTAATACATTGTTATCCCATTGTTATCACACCATTGCTATACGCACCATTCGGAGATATTCCTTTAATTAGGACCAGTATTCATCCATCGTTCCACAAAAGCATTTGATATTTATATCACTGAGGTGTTTCAATAATTCGATCGGAGAAATTTGCTCACTGTCCTCGAATGTTTTAATTTGATAATAATTTTAGTTTGAGATAGTTGAAAGATATTCAAGAACGTTGTTTTTTGCGAGTTGTCAATTTTATGTGAATCTTAGCTCGAACTATAACATGGTCAGATCCATGAAAATTACCCTCAGTAGGAACGGCTATCTAGTACGGAATTCTTCCAACACCAAAAACAAAATTTATTATGATATAATCAATCTGGCTGAAGTGTTGATTATCTGGGGAACTCCATGCGTTATCTTCTATGGGAAGTATATATTAATAACAAAAACCTCATGCCCTTCGGCCAAGCGAAGAAGAGTTTCCCATTGGTGCACTGGACCCAGATGCCATATTTGCTTCATCGCATCAGCATCATTATCTACACATCCATTGCAGTCTCCTCTGACCATGTCATCTTTCGGTAAAGATGTTGTTAGCAATAGAATTCCCGCATAGAACTTTTTCACAGTCATCTTCAGACAAACTTGGAGTACATTTCCTTTTTTCTTGAACTTTTATTAATATCGTCCATCAATATTTTTGGCTACGCTTGTTCTTGTAAGAAATAGTTTCGTTAGAGAATGCTTTACTGATAGAAATACAAGTGAATCTCCATTACTATATGAACAAGAAATGGCTTAGGAATGAAAATTGCATTTAAAAGATTTATAATAAAGATTTTAGCAATTTTGCAAAAAAAAAGTTATATTTATCAATGGCACATAAATTAAATTAAATTAAATCTAAATCTAAAGAAAGAAAATTATCACAAAATTATCACAAAGTTATCACAAAAATATTGAAAATGCAAATTAAAAATGAAATTTTTAGTTTGAAACCAAAAATATCTTAGTTAATCTAATTTACAAACAAACAAAATAACAACAAACGTTGGCAATTTCATTGAAAAAAATTACAAGAAATTAATTGAAATATTTTTTTTTAAAAAAATTCTTATTCTTTGCTCGGCACTGATAATAATTTTTTCATATATGATGTGATTAAATCATCCATCTTATAACCCTATAAAATAATATTTTATTGAAAATATTCATTATTTATTAAAATAATTTTAGTTCTTATTGTAAATATTTAATATTTATATTTATTTAAATAAATATTTATTATAAAAAAGAAAATGAAAAAAATTAAAAATTGGATGAAAAAGATTGATGCATTAACAAATTTATCGAATAATTTATCTTATTCTTGCATTCCAGAAAAGCTAAATCCCTGATGGAGTTCTTTGAAACCTCGTTTATATCTTTTATTCTTCTTTCTTCCCTTTCTTTATGTGCTCATTAATATTATTTTAAACGTATGGTTAATGTAATCCAGTAATAACATTTGATTATGTTATTTCATATTTGCTATTTTTTTTAACTTTGCATAGTGTCCAAATTTTTGTTTTATTGTGGCGGTGTCAGCAAAACACAATTTTATCCTGTTTTTCTAAATTCCACCTTATCTTAGTCTATGCTTCCTGATTAAGGAAAATTCAGGTTTGCTACTAAGAACAAAATTCTTAATTTTGATAATTTTATGTTAATTTCTGATATTCTTTCCGATGATAATTTTTTGACATCATCTGGTTACTTTTTGCTTGATGCTATTCAATTTGCAAGAAATCAAGGTAGTTGATCAAAAACTTTATTTTAAGATCAATATCGTTAAAGTACCAAAAAATGGTTCGATTCTGATCATTTTTTGGAATTTTTTGTCTATTGAAATTCAGTCTCAAAATATGCACAAAATCAATTTTATCAAGGACAACGTGAGACTGAAACTTGAAGAAAATTTTGCCGTCAAAAAATATCAGATTTGAATCTTTACTTCTCCTTAGTTTTCATTTTTAAACTTGTTGCATATTTATGTGCGAACTATTAACTGTTATGAATAAATATATTGCTCATTTGCAAGTGAAATAATGAAATGTTAAAAATAAGAAATATCAAATCATCTGATCACATCTAAAGTGTATTTATTCCGTATTGATGAAGATTAATAGCACAAATTGTCATTGAATAGATGAAATGTACTTAAAATTTCTGATAAAAGAAAAAAACTCACAAGTGTGGTTTCAAATAAGAGACGATTACCGCGATTGCCTTTCATAAGATTGCCAGTTGTTATATGAAAATAAGTGTTTCCACTTGTCCAATTACTAAGAGATTGAAATGGGTAGTTGACGATAAACTGTTTATTACTTGCATTGTATAAGTTAATACCGGTTTTATTAATAGCTATTAAAACTTGCTCACTTATTGATGGATCGGATGATTGTTTAACCTAGAAAAAAAACTTCATGCTGGTTGTTTGAAGAGGAATTTCAGTTTCTATCAAAGTACCATATAATACATGGAAATCATTTGCTAAATAGACATAAAATATATTGAATATAAATGAATCGAATAATTTTTTCGATAGCTAAATACCAAAATAATTTGTAAAATAAAAAAACAATGAGACAAATAAAAATAAAATAAATAAAAAAACCTCGAAAAATGCAGAACCAAAAGTTGGCCATGAGGAAATGTATTTCAAGAAGATAGTTTTGGCGTCATCAGGCGATAAATTTTCGATAGATCCAGTATAAGCATTGATAATTTGCTAAATATCGACAAAATTCATGAGATGAATTATACCACAATATGTCAGCATTTAAATAAAAAAAAATATGTCGACATATTTCTATTTTTTTTCTAACAAATTTTTTCTATTCTATTTTCTAATTGTTTTCTAACAAAAATATAAGAAATTTTGATGTTAAAAATATCAAATATTATCATATCACCTTATCATATCACGTCAAAAGTGTGTATTTATTTCGTATTAAAAAGGACTAATTTTTTTTAAATGGGCTCATTATTATTGGTTAAATTTGCTTCCGTTGGAATGTTTGACTGAATAAATTTTGCCAGGGAGTTATATGGTGATACAATTATAGATGAATGGGAATTTTGATAGGCAAGTTGATTCTTAGATAATTTTCGAAAATGTAGATGAAAATTCGAAAATGAACCTTTTTCCATTCTGCGCAACTATAGGCTTTCAACATATCACGAGGAACCAATTCTGGTATTATGGTTGCAAGTTGATTTAGCGATACAGGTTTATCATTCCTAATTTTTGCACGCAATATCAATGTGGCTAAATCAATTGCTTGCTGACGTGATAAACTATGGTAGCCATGCAAATATTTTGGAAGTTCCTATAAGTTGTCTATTTATTTGTTAGATTTGTCTATTTCTCTATTTGAAATATCACGAATTTGAAGAGCAATATTATTATTTTAGTAAAGATATACCTGAGGAAAATGAAACATGAGATCAGCTATTCGATCATCACCGGGAACTGTATTAATCCATAACTTTTTCATGAAAAATACTTGATATGCGAAGGTTACAAAGGCACGGTTAGTATTAGGCCGACTTTGCTTTACCCAATCAGATAATTGGCGTACAAAATCAAAGAAAAAATCGCTATCTGGCATCGAAATGACTGAAAAAAATAAAAATTTGAACATTTTTGCTTCTCCAAGGCTAACTTACAGTTACAAAATTTTTTAATTATTTAAAGACCTCGGTCGTTCATCTTCACGAAAAGCGAAAATCCATCTGAAGACTTCAAGCACAGTCGATTAGCGATTCTAGAACAGAACTCAGAAGCACGCATTGAGGCATCCACTTCAATCGCTTCTTCTGTACTGTCAGGAAAGTAAATTTTATGAAAAATTTGAGTTGTTCGACGCTGAATAGCTTCAATTTCCACTTGATGCGGAGGAAATTTTCGACATCCTGACCTGAATAGTAGTAACAACAGTGATATCCTAACAGTGGTATACTATTTTTAACATTTCAACCAAAATATTGCGAATAAGCAAGCAAAGGATTCATTTTTATCTTTACTTCTCAACAATACTCTCGAAAAGGCTTCTTTAATCTTTGTGTCTAATCGAATCGGAAATAAAATATTTATTAGTAAATACTTTAAAGTTTTTTGCAATCTTGTATAGCAATCCATCGCAATTGAATTTGGCCTTGTGAATAAAAACTGCATAACTTCTTTAAGGAGTGATTGACTTGGAGGAAAAAGTCCAACGCAAAGCCAAAACAGCTCCCAACCTCTTTCCTCGCTTATAGGATTGCAGTTATCTGTCAATTGTTTAATCAACTGGCAGTAAACTTCGTCACGGAGAATTTCCTGCAAAAAACCATTGTTTTTCAATATTCTCTTCAAAATTTATACGAAGCTGGCAAAAAATTATTTGCTATTTGCCAATATATCACATATAAACAATTACATCGTAATACTTTTCTTTATTTAATATCTATGAAGCTTAATAAATCATGAAAATCATAAATAATCGAAAATTTCGACTAACATATTTTAAAGGTCCTCGAAAAATCTGATCCGTGAGATCGATATCCATGAAATGCCTTTCCGATGGATAATCGCCCATGTAAATCATAATAGCACAATAACCCATGATAGCTTCGCGAGATGGTTCACTTTTGCCTTCAAGTTTCTATAAAACAAATTTTTTCACAAATATTTCCTTAATAAATTGCTAGAATCTTATTGAAAAAAAATACGAGGAAATGAAATCACTAATAAAACGGTTATGATTCCTGTTAAATGGCGAAAGTTACTTAAAAAGTTACTTCGTGATTGAGAAATAGAATTCGAATTACCAATTTACCATATTAACAATTGTTTACAACAACAAGGTTTGATTAATGAAGAGGAGGTTGATAAGGCAATTTTTATCATTTCGTGAAAGTGCGTCAGTGGCTTGCTTATTGCAAAGTAGCGAATCAACAATGGGATTGAAATATTATTATTACAATAAGATGACATAAATATTGTTACATTTAAAAGAAAGCAAGACTGGACAAGAACCAATAGAATGAGAGGAAAATTTCTCACATCCCTGATAAAAAATAGCTTTTTTGCTTTTTTAATAATGATAACGTCGTTCTTTGATAATGATAGATTTAAAGTTAAATGCAATATACCGAAAATTAGAAAATATTTGCAATATTGAAATATTGTGAAACCGAAAAATTATTGAAATTTTTAATTGGAAAAATCATACCTTAAGCAGTGGCATCTTCAGTGGTTCATAACTGTGAGCGCATAAATTCGTTGACTGACCATAATATCTACGATTGCTAATCGTAAGGGCTCGCTGTTTTGGTTGATTTCTAAAGTGGAGAGTAGTTTTCTAAAATTCGATAATATTCTTGAAAATCCAAATCTAATAACTTTCTTTACTTGATTATTTACTTCGATATTCCTTAGTTTAAATTTTGTTGTAATTGCGCGTAAAAAAAAACGATGAATTTTCAATAATGACAAAATTTTGCAAGCCTTTCAATCCCAACTCACTATGCCTTTCAGTTCATTTCCCTCCAAAAAACCAGCCAATCTTATTATTGTATCAAAAAGGTGAACATAATCGTGATGCACAGGCTTATAACCGTAACGTTATATAGGATACCTTTTTTGTCTCTAATATAATGAATATTGCTAGGCAATTAGTGAGGAAATAAATGAATTAAGGAGCTCTCTCTGTCTTAATAGGACCACCTAAGGACGAGAAGTTGTTGCCAATTCGGTGTCAAGTTTGACCTCCACAAGGAAAGGAGAGGATTTTAGGAGAGGATAAAAAAAATTGCTTTATTTAATTAATTAAGCATTTTTTATTAGAATTTTATTTTTATTGTATTTCTATTTTAAGGCTTTAATTTCTTCATGGCCTGCAAATTTCTAGATCCTGCAAATTTTTATCTTACTAGTAGCCATGAACTTCCGAACACAAACACAATATATTTTAAAATTTAAATTCAAAAATTTGCATGACAAGAAAGATCTATTTTGTGAAAAGCAGCTAAAAAGCTATTCTTCAAAACTAATGTCTAATGATTTTATACTGAAATGCTTTTTGCATGAAATAAATATTCATTAAACTATTTTGCCTGTTCTGCGTAATTATTTTATATTTTCCTAGCTTTTTCGGTTTCAGATTCAGCGCCTTATGCCTTTAATAGAGACTGAGAGTCACCTATACTACCCATGAAAAGTCAAAGTGTCAAAGTTAAAGTGCTTGCTAATTATTTTATATTTTTGAGATGCGTAGCATCAATTGAAGATTGATATACTTGAAATTATTAGCCGCAAATTGTTCGAGTGTAAAAGGGCGAGCAAAAATATTTCTTTTTGATATAAGAGCGATTTGTTGATTCATTGGTGATTCGAAATTGATCTGCTTTAAAAATAGTTCCTGCAAAAGCTTCTTGCATGGAAAAAAAGTTAAATTATAATAAGTAAGTTAAATGATCAAAAAATGATCAAAGAATGAATGCAAGTCGAAAACATAAAAGCAAGAAATTCACCATAATTTCGACTGAAGGTTTTGTGACAGTCGGCAATATGTGTACCATGTTTGTAGGAATATTACCTTGAATGCCTGTACGAGTATTTTCACCTTTCACATATCGGTTAACTTGTGTATATGCTCCATTATATCCCTCTTCAAGAATCAATAGATCACCTCGCATGAAAGGCAAGCTATCGCTGCCCTCTGAAATATTTTTATGTTGGTTGCTACTCATTAATAACCCAATAATAATATTTGCCAAATGAACATCCACTGGTCATCGTTTAATGGAGAAAATGAATTTGTTTACCAGGATTATTTTGGAGAGCTACCAGATATTGAGATCTTGTCTTTAGACCGTCTAGAAAATAATCAATGAGCTTTTTGATATCGCTTGCATTAGGTGCTAGAAAAGTATACTGATCATCATTAATTGCTGATATGGTGATATGCTCAATGCCATTTATATTCCGTCTAAATAAGCAATATTAAATTAACTTCTAAAAAATTATTTTGATAAGAATTCAATCTATTTAATCCAACGTACGCTAACAAGTCGACATGAAATCCTCGGAACCAATTGGGCTTTGAAAGAGAGTCAAAGCCAATAATTATTCATTATATTTTTTTAAAAAATTTCATATAAATTTAAAACGATAAGAATAATAATAACCATGAAGAGTTTATAGAGGTTATAGATTTACAATTTTTATAACTGACACCAATAGGAAATATTATTCAATATTTATTCATATTGTTATCATTATTCTATTATTATATATATTTCAGTTATTGTATTATTCTTCTATTATTATTATTTCATTATTATTATTTTATTATTATTCTATTATTATTCAAGCTATTTCTCTTGAAAAAAATTTTCTTCGAAGGTCAATCTATAAAGAAAAAAGAAGATTATGAACCTCTCATTCAATTTACCAGAGCAATAAAATAAAAATAATGCCATTTCCTATATAAACGGAACACAACAATACAATAACAAATCAAACAATAGCTTAACAATATACTTCGTTGAAGATACTTGGAAAATCTCCGGAAATGAAAGTTCGAGTAGAACCTGTTCATTGTCATCCACAACGCTTATACCCATCCAGTTAACAGCAATTACTACCTGAGATAGAGATAATTTCAAAAAATCTGTAACTTTCGCTGTAAAATCTTTTGACAAAAGAACCGATGGCATATGTTTACAACAATGTTTAAAATTTTGATAATTCAGAGCCGGTTCAAATCATTGCTAGCTTTGAAAATGAATATTTCAAATAAATTCACTTGTGGAAGTGAGTGGCTTGTTAAATTTTAATAGCCAGTACAACCAGCTATGACAAATATACTAAAAATTATTAGAAGAAAAAAAGACATAGAAATGCAATCATGGAACTCAACCAGATTTCGCCATACACACATGGATTCTCAAAAAAAATTTTAGTCCTTTATTTACTTAAAAAATTTACTTCACCGCAGTCCTTTCTTTCAGAAAAAAATCGGCCATTTTATTTTATTAAAAATTATAAAATGAATCAAACACCTCATTTTTAGAAATTGATGGGCCATTAATTTTATATGCTTCATAAAATCGTGAAAAAAGTAAAGGCCATTTGTTTTTTGCGAAATTTGCAATTTCTTGTTTCACTTGTTCTCGACTGGATTGATTCTGAGAAAATTGCTGAAATATAAAAAAACAGTCCGAGAAGACGAAAAGACTGTTCTAGCGAAGAAACAAGTTTTATTATTCAATAGAAAAGTGGAAATTTCTAAATAAAATACAAATAAAGGAAAGTTTTTAATACTGTCAAATTGCAGGTTTGAATAAAAATGAGAACTTATTAGAATTCTATTATTAACAATTATAGGTTACGAAAATTCAGACCAGTGAAAAGTCTTTTATATTAAAATAATTATTTATATTTATTTGAAATCCGCCAATCAATGCTTACTCCATATGCCTTTTATACTAAATAAAAATATAAATAACAATAAAATTATATTTAAAAAAACGAAAATATAAAAAATAATAATATATAATATAATGAATACATAAAAACAAAATCAAATGAAAATATAAAAAATGTAACAAAAGATATAAAGTTTTAAAGAAATAAATAAAAAACATGAAATAATGTGGCTGAATGGATTGTTGCTTAGTAGATCATCGATGCTGGAGTGCTATATTCTATTCTAATCTGTTGCTAAGAATAAATTTAGCATTCGAAAGGTTAGCACTCGGTTGGTGCTGACGACCTACATGTGCTACTATCACGAAATGATCCTCAAACAAAACTTATTTTACGAGCCAGCAGAGAACGAATTTAACCAAAAACGGTAAAAACCAAAGGTGAATGGTGAGAAAAAAAGCATAAAAATAACAAACAATGTATTGAAATTGTTTTATAATAATCTAAATACTTTCATGAAATCATTTAATTGTCTTTTAAAATTAGATCTCCAGTTAAATTATAAATATAAGTATATTTTACCTTACGATAAGCATGTAATACGAGTTGCAGCCAACGTTGTTCGTTATTTGAATCGACAGCGTTTTTCCATTCTTCCACTGGTACATATGAACTAAGAGATGATTCAAGCTTCTCAATGTTCATTTCCAAACCATGATCAATATAATATTGTTGAGCAATCAAAAGAGCTATATCTTCTTCCTAAAATACTATATCGACATTTCATGCCACAGGTCCACAAGTACCATAGGTCATCATATCAGAGCTATATCAATCTCAATTTAGTCGACAAAAAATATCCTTACCTTAGTGCTCCGATATTCGCCGTACCTTACACCTCGGATTATTTGTTGATAGATTAGATTAATACTGACAGCGTCTTGTCTTAAAAATTAAATTTATTTTATAAATTTTAACCATAAAAAGTAAAAAATAGAACTCTCTTCATTCCATAGAAAGCTCCAGAAGTAAACTATATGAAAAATAGCACTGCATGTGCAAAGAATTCTAAAATTAAAACATCGGTACAAACAATATTATCTCAAATATTATAATGTGGATATTGTGCAGAAAATAAAAAATTTTCCTGTCAGTATTTTATTAATATTATGCAATGAAATATCCCGATTATGCAAATTTAACTGGAAATAGCGGCAAATTCGTATCCATAAAAGAAAAGTAGGATTAGGTTTAGCAAAAAATTAGTGATGAAAATAAGTAAATGTCAGTCAGTGATTATTTACTCATGGCATAGCAATACCCATGGCCATGGCCAATGGCTAATTTAAAGAATCTATGAGTAAGACCTAGAAAATGGAAGTAAGAGGGATATGATGTAGACGAAAGAGAAAGCGAATCTGCAAAGAAATAACAACTCGCTGTGTAACTCAGATGCATCGTAAATCTCCCTTTAAATCAAGTGTCGTAAAAATGACATAGGGAAAATGACATAGGGAAATGTCTTACATAGGATCGTTCCAGGGCGCAAAAATCTCTTTCCTAAAGAAAAGTCTCCATGGAACATTTTGTTCTTGTTGGCCCTGTTCGCGAAAATGTTGTTCACATTGGCTTATTGCATCTAAAATATGATCCGATCCTGAACCCAGGGATGATACCTGAAACAATTATGAAATAAAAAAATTTGGATTTATTAAGAAAAAAATATCTCTCAAAGTTGAAAAAATTGCCGTCACATGTGAATTCAAAATTGATTTTGCAAAAGGAAAATTTGATTGATAATGCTGATCATAACTGATAAAGTGATGATAAAAATTATCAATTTAAATTTTAAATTTAAACATTTTAGAAAAATTTTATTTGACCTTATCGAAAAGTGCAATGTATATGGAGAATCCAAATCTGTCGTTGAGGCCAAGTTTGTCGCATAAGGCATTGCAAAGCTCTTTAGCAGTAGTCGCTGAATCTGCTTCTACAGATTTTACCGAACCATCCATGAATGTTATGGCTAATACAATGGGCCTTTTCAATTTTATTGCCTAAAAATTTTTTAACAGAATAAATCTTCTTTTAGCATCTAATTTCTTCCTTCGTCAATATTTGCTGGCCTCTAACCTTTTTTTTCTAAGATCCTTCATCATTTCTGATTAGATTCGCACCTGATTTCTAATTAGATTGGCTTATCAGACTGGACAAATTTTATCAAAGATATTTGGTAATATAAATACTGATAGTTAGATTTTCAAAAGATTTTTTAAAATGCAGATTTAATCCCGTCGAGAATATGATGCTAACAATGATGCTCCGAAATAAGGGCAATAATCCGCTGATCCATACTACCCTTTACTTGCTTCGTTAGCTAATAAAATGAATCAGTTTTGAACCAAATTTTTTTAAAAATTTAGTGTTCTTATTATTACTCTTTCTTTATCATTATCATTCATTGATATAAAAAGTAAAAAAAAATTCGACTTACTTGTAATTCGATATAGCTTGGCGGTTGTTGCCGCGTACCATTTTTTATTGTTCTGGTTAAACGACGTTCTATATAATACGAATAACTCGTATTTTCTAAAGGAATATTCTCTCTTATAAGACAATAAAGATATTTAATGAAACGATCGGAGGGCGCAAAGCAACCAACACAGAGGGATAGCAATATCCAGCCTCTGGCGTTTGAATTCTTCGATGGATTATTGGTAATTTGTTTACAAATTTGGCAATAAATTTCATCTCTGCAAATAAAGTTAAAGTTACCAGATAAAATAAATATTAAATATAAATAAATAAATATTTTAAATATACCAGATAAATAAGGATAATTGGAAATGTAAGACTATTTGTAATGATATTTGTATTGCTCAAATGGTTAAAAATTCATGTTAGACCCGTAAAGACCGCGTGAAAAGGCTTTCATTTACAATTGCCTCCAAAAGGATGATCAACAAGGAGTAATAATAAGTACTATACCGCAAATCAGGTCGGAGAATGCCATGTCCAATAATAAAATGAAGTTTTTCCAAATTTGTCATTGAATGATCGTTAAGGAAAGAATCATAAGGACTACGTTCGATAACAAATTCTTCTGTGTTCATAAGATTCCTTTCAAACGTTTTTTGGTTAAATTTTCCCTTTATTAGTGGTGATTCCAATTTTTTGCCATTCACACTTCCATTCGATCCTCCTATAGAATCCTGAAAATTAAAATGAATGTATAAATATAAAATTCATATAATATAAGTAGCGGCAACATCGAGAGTTAACAGAATTTTTAAGATTTTCATTGAGAAACTTGCAACCTGTTCGGGATCGCCACATTGACTTGCCATATCTTTTTTATAGAAATCTCGATTAAGAATGGAATATAGACGATTCATAATTGGTGTTTTATCCTTAATAAGATTTCCTTAATAACATTAACTTTGATTATCAGTTTTCTTTAGCAGAAATTTTTTGTCCAAATGCTGAATAGCAATATTCATTTTGGTCTTTTATTCATTCATTTACAATATTTAAGATAGCAGTAAATTTCCGCTGGCCAATAAGAAAATTCCCTCCATTTCAACATATAGTTTTCGATTGTCTCCAAAAAGAGACTAATCCACTCTTTAGTCGATATTTCACAAATGATAATTGTGATCAAGACACTCACTACTGAATCCACAGAGTTTGTAGGAGAATAAGTTGGTTCGGTGAGATCTCCCATAAATTTTAAAATGATGACCCAAACAGCAAGTGAAGCCTGAAAATTTTGGAAATTTTGGATAAAGTTGGTGTAGTTTGTCTTTTAAAATTAATAAATAGATGGGCTAAAATTGACTGAACAAGGATTTATAAAATTCATGCCAAATGATCATTTGCGTCGACGTGTGGTAATAAAGGGACTCGAAGAATTTTTTTGATGTGTTCAGCTGTTGCTTGACGCTGGAAATAAGTAGCGGCAAATTTATAAAACTGATATCCTCTCAGGTCTTCGTTTTCGATGTCTCCATTCATAAATGATATCTTTGAAGAAATGGATTCCCTGGAAATGCATCAATAATCAGTAATTATATGTTATTTTTCATGCACCACTGCTACTTGGTTCCACTGACTGCATTGTCTTAAAAGTTTTTCTGTCAGATTCGCGAAAATATTTAATTATAATCGTAAAATATATTTACCGTTTACTGTGAGTATTTCTTTCCTCTTCAAATTTCATAACTGGTGACTGAAGTGGAGTTTCATCCGGTAAAAAACCAAACATTTTTTCTATCTGCAAACCACTAAATGACGCTTGATCTATTTCCACGGATTTATGGATTTCTCTTTTCACAACAAAAGAGCAATCTTTCAATCTCGCACCATTTTTATACCATTTGTGGATCTCTTGAGATCTTATATCTCTGTAGCTATACTATACGACACATCTTGGCTCACTCTTCGACCTGCTCCAAATTTAACAGAATAGTTCAAAAAGACTGCTTATTACCATATTCATCATATTAGATTTACTATCTATCTAATATTTCAAATAAGAGTCTATACGAGCATAAAAATCATTAGGTTAATGAGATTTGTATAGGATTCCCATGTTTTAAATAACTTTTCTGTTTACATTGTCAGCTTTAAGTCTATATTTCGTTTATTTGAATAAATATACAAACGAACAAGTAGTGAGTCGTCCATGACATCGCTTAACGTAGTTTCAGAGACCACACTGGATCGGCCATCAGCACAATCTGTATTTGTTACCATCATTGCTCGACAGCGTTCACCATTGTCTCTTTTCATTCTAAGCTTATTTCTTATCAGTGCTCCGCGGCAATGCGCCTTAATTTCAAAAATTTTCTTTGAAAATCCACAAGGAGGATGATATCCGAAGCACGGCAAATTTTATCATTTGCTTCAAAAATCGGATTTATCACATTTTTATCTTTTGATAATTCATAGTTCAACAAGCTCACTATTTCTAATTAGGGTAATTTGTGGAACCATACTAATTTTTTCGGAGAATTTAATGATAAAAATAAAGGTTTATTCTTACTAGTAAAACTTATCAACACACTCATTCTATTTACCCGTAGCTCTTAACAAGCAGTTGCAAAAATTTTTTCATATCTTTACCTGAAACCGTGTAATAATTTCTTTGATGCCTTTATAATGCAGAACGAGTTGACGAGATCGCAAAACGGCTTGAAGCCTCGTGAAACCAATTTTTATCTAAACTGGAAAATAATATAAGTTTTAAAACCTGGTTATAGAAAGTTGTTGGTTAAATGACGTTCTGTAGTATGCTTATACGCTTAAAATAGCTTAATGCGTCACATCATTGCGATCTCGTCAACTCGTTTGCGTATAACCTGCTTATAACGCTGGCGATATATATATCCTCGCCAATATCGTTGAATAATGATAGCAGCCATCCTCATATGTACAAAACGCTTTTTGTCTATCCATCCACGAACTGTCCTTTGTATAGTTGTCGCATGCAAATTAAGCATCCGATCATGCTCCTTGAATATGAAAGATACAAAAGGCATTTGCAATTGAGCATAAAAGAATATTTTTTTAATGCTTTTCTTCAGCATATGATAAATTAAAGATAAATCAGCAATAAATTTGACTTCATACGAATAGCTTATTTTATAAGAAGGCTATTCAAAAAATGAACCAACCTGTTGCAAATATCGATCTTGATTTTCTTTCAAAAATATCTTTGTCGCACCAAATTGATAATCTACATCAGCATCGAACATCGATCGGCAAATTTTTTGAGCAACGATATAGCAATCCTCTTTATTTGGCGAACCTAAGGATTGTTTTTAAAATAGCTGATCAATGAACGATGTTTAAAATTTTCTGCCTTAAAAGCTTTAAAATAGTGGTATTCGGGCTCAGTTCGGATTGTAAAGCCTTTATGAGACCATTAATTATAAATAATTACCGATTTCTTTGACAAACATTCGGTACCGCTGAACGAAATCTACATAATCATATCGTACAGGATATCCTGTCTTCCTAAAACGAATCGTTTCCATCATACTTGTATATCGTAATTGTTTGCTGACCAAATTCCTGTCGAATATCTGTAACATATTTTTTTGCTAAAATGGCGAAAAATCGTTGTTTTCAAGCAAAAAATAATGCGAGGAATTATTGAGTTGCGCTATTTCAACTAGGAGCAAGCACCGAGTGATTTTGGTTTCTGCGCTTTACCACGAATAAAATTATTAATATTATTTAAAATTATTATTAAAAATGAAATCTTGGTGTCTGTTGGAATCTGCGCCTCTATTCCATTTGATTCCAATTTTTTATTAGTACAACTTGCCAAACGAAAAATTGTTTAAAAAATTGAAATTGAAATTCAGATACATTTTAGAAATTTGGCCATTTTTAGCATAATATTTTTGCTTCAGGAATTGCTTATCTTTCTTTCACTCGCATTTTTTCATAAAAAAACAGTAAAAGCAAAAGAAAACCAACAAACCAGCGCATGTTTCGTTTCATTTGGCTTGATGCATCTAATAAAATGTGGTTCATATTGCGTAAGCTGTGTCATAAGAGATTCAAGTGATTTTCGAAATTGATTCCCAACAGTTGTTTGTCTGCGACGATGTGAAGCCATCGCATCATATGGTAAATCAGAATCAAATAAGCTTACTAGAAACTTGAATTTGCTATTTTGTATAAGAGCTATTAAATCAGATGAAAATATATCACGATTCTTCTCCAGAAAGCCTGCAATTAGAAACTAAATGCACGATAAACAAGCCCCTTACCATCTAAGCACAATCTTTCTGTTATACTTGGCCAATCTGTTCAGTTGCTTTGGTAGTTTGCAAGTAAAGAGCGCAGAATTTTGTGTTTACAATTAAAATTTTGAGTGATTGTTTGGATTCTGCTATTCCTCTATAATCAAAAATCAAAATGCATCATATCAATATTTCATAGAACTGGCCAAATCAGAAATGATATAGTACTGATAATAGAAGAAGCGATAAAAGAAATAACAGTAAAAGAAGCAGAATGGCGATATACCTTTGCTACTATAGATGACGGTACCGGCGTAATGCACAATCCCAAATGATTTGTTTAGGTTTGATTTTGGTTTTATATAGATGGATCCTTTTTTTTGGTGATGGGCATGTAGCTTATCAAGCATAGATTGATCAGTTCCCTGAAAGATTATCAAAATTTAGCCAAAATCCGAATCACAAATTTAATTTTTCTTCAGAAGAAATTTCAAAACCTTAGGAAATAAGCTTTCTTCATCAATTATCGAAAGAATATTCATTGGAGAGATTGCTATCATATTTAAAACGTCTTCATTGTCGGCGAAACGGATTTTCTTCCAGTTGATTCGTTCAGCTTCATATTCTCTGATAAAAAATACTATTTATTTAAAAGAATTGGATGTCTCTAGGTTAACCTTTCTCAATTTGGCCAAAGATTTTTATTGTCTTAATATTTTTGAGATGAGTGGCACTACTTCAAATTTTTTACAATATTTGTCTTTAATGTTTGGAAATATGTTTGGAAATATTGACTGATAATTAAAGCTGTAGAGATTATAAAATATTAAACAAGAGGCAAAACATTCGAGGACCCACGAGATCCCACGGACCCTACTTAAATATATGCTTAATAAGAAAATGGGTTAGGTGGTTAGAAATTATATGGATATATTTTTAGGAATCATAATCATCTCCAAGGCTAATGCATTCGGTTCAGCTAAAATGCTGATTGGTTCCTTGGTAATCGCCTTGCCATGGCTTAGGTTTAATCTTCAAAATTTATCCTCAAAATAACCAAAGTTTAGCGATAAAAGATAAATTAATAAATTAAATAAAGTAAAACACCCTTGTTCCATTTTAAATATATGCTTAATGAGGAGTTGTTTTAAACTCTCATTAGCGTAATTGATGCAAAGTTGTTCAAAGCTATTTGTGCTAAAGTTTTCAAAACCAAATATATCGAGAATTCCAATTTTTCTGCGAAGATGTCCCTCTTTCTGTGGCCTAAACTTTGGAATTTATTGAATACTTAGAAAAAATCAGCAAAAATTTTTCTGAATCGACGATTTTTCGTTATTAGTGCTTGTCATTGTCTTTCACGCCTTTTTTTAAATCCTCGTTTAGCAAATTGCGTACTGATATTGCGTAATCACTCTACTGATTTCAAGGATAAGGTTGAGCTCGATCAGATGCCATATCTGAGAGGACACCCCTTTTTCCACTGTCTAAGGCCTAGCGCCTAGGCCACCTATATATTCAAGATCTCTTCTAACTCTATCCGCTAATCTAATGAAAAAATAAGTATGAACGAAGAAAGCTCGAAAATTTCGAGAAAAATTATAGTTTTATACCTATACATTGTATCATTAATTTTATTAAGAATGTAAGTAAATAATCGTCCATAAATTCCTTTTGCGAAGGCATCTCGAACGTCAAGACTTTGCTCAGGTGTTAAGCATGTAATTACTTGTTCACCTCGTGTTATTAAACTTCTTGTCGTCAGTGCATCGACAAGAGATCGAACATCCAACTGAAATTCGAGCCAATAAATTTTTCCTAACTTGACTTCTAAAAAGCAAGGAGATCACTTTGGCTAAGCGCAGAAGGTTCCGACTCTTGTTCTTGACAAAGAGAAATACGATTAACTACTGGAGATCTATTTATATTTTATCCATAAGACTTCCTTTGATAGTAGGCAAATCAATCCAGAGAGGTGACTGTTGATAAAACGTTTTAAGAATAAATAGAAATATTAACCTGTAATAATTTTGCAACACAGTGCACACTTACTGAATCTTTAATTTCAGTAGCTTCAATGTTGTTTAAAATCGTTACTGCAATAATAACAGATAAATTTCAATTCTATCAAATAAATAAGTATTAAATAAGATTTTAAGGAAATATATTAATAGAATCGCTTTATTTTACCACTATATTTGATATTTCCTATATGAAGTATAGCGGCCAAAATACGAAATATAAGCCAAATTTCCGAGTCTCGAAACATCAATATTTTCATTGCAGATCGGATTTCGGCAAGATCAAGTACATCATTATGCCTTTCAGCCTTTAGAGTTTTTCTCTGAATGATTACATATATATATATATATATATAATTATAATTATTAATGATACAGCACTGGAAAAATGAATTCACTGGAAAACCGTGGGATTTTAAAGGAATCTAGTGAATTTGAAGTTGTTTCTAGGTGCTATTTAAATTACATCATATTTAAAAGTATCAGTATAACTGCGAGCTGTACTAGTCAAGACCTGGACTGAAAACAGTCAGAAAAAATTTTGAGCGCATAGGTGGACCAACAACATATTGATTTAAACGATGGAAAAAAATTACTATCAGCGATGGCATCGATTTGAACAGTTTGGAAAGACTTTATCCTTGGGGCACCTGCTTAACCAATGAGAGTTGTTAAGTGAGAAGAAAGAAGTATCAAATTTGATATAACAGGTTATCAAGGAGTCGTGAGCAAAATCGAAACTCCCTTTATCACTTTTTATAAAAATTTATAAAAATATTTATAGGAATATTTGTTAATTTACTAATAAGAAATCATACCTGATTGAGATAGTAGTAATCTCCAACGGTTTTTAAGTTCAATTCATTTTTCTCGGCTGCGCTTAAATTTTCTATAAGGCAATAAAAAATATGATAATTGCATTCCCCGTTTGCTTGGCTCACAATTCGGGATTTCTCTAATAAATAATGCTCAATTTGAGCGCTTTCTATTGAACCAGAATTGTTAAAATGAATATCGATATATTTGCCAAAACGTGACGAATTACCGTTTATTATTGTCTTCGCGTTTCCAAAGGCTAAATGGAATTTGATTAATTTACACATTTTTTAAAACATCAATTAATCAAGAAATACCAAGAAATAAGGATGAGAAAAAAATGAAGAGAAATTTCTTGAAAATATAGCGGAATATTTAGGTATACACAATTTTGAAGCCAATGGAGGCAGCTGGCTGATGATGGTACCAGTTGTTAGAAAGAAGAAAATGACAGGAATGTTATTGGATCAGGTGCCTTGGAAATATTCCACTGTAGTAACTAGTGGACTTAGAAAAAAAAAGCTAGATCAGGTCTCAGAAGTAGAAAAGAAACAGTCAAGAACCAATCAGAAAAGAAACGGTTCATGATCTTAGAAGAAATGAGGTAATCAATTTTATAAAGCAATATGGCTTTCCTGAAAGTGATTAGCTAAGCGTGATGGCAAGTTGATCGTTGACATGGTACCTTTTTGGGCGTGTATTAAAAAGAAATCCATATGATCTTAAGTTGCTGCCTATATATTTGTAGTAAAATGGCTCCTCAGTGCAATTTTTCAATTCTCACTTTAATAATAATGAATGGTGCTATTCAAACCAGAAATAATAAAAGATGTTTCAATATGAATTTTTTTTAACATTTAACCTTAATGTCATATAATGTTTAACCTTCCATAATTGGTATTGCCTCCAGCACTTGTTGCTCAATCCATGAATGTTGGCCTGATATCATTGCTAAGAACTGTAGAACTAGTTTCGCTGATTCGGTTTTTCCTGCTCCTGATTCTCCACTAAAGAAAAATAGGAATTCTAAATTTTAAATTTGAGTGATTTTTGATAAGAATATATTATCTTGAAACTATTCTCACTCGCCTTAAATTTTTTTAAGTTTAACTTGATGACACCAAATATTATCAAAAAAAATACTAAATTGATAACCAAAAGTGAGCAAAGCTTATTAACATTTGGTTGCGTTAAGAGAATTGGGCTAAATGGCTTATCGAGAAAATGTTGAGGTCTGAAGAAATTTAAAGGAGTGTTTAGGCAATATAATGGAGTTTGAAGTGGTGCTTAGAATATATATTTAGAGCCTATAGTTTGTCATAATCATTGATATTAGCATACTTGCAAATTATGAATATTGGTTCCAAGTAGTTTTTTGGCTTAATAGGATCATATGCATTGTGAGAACTTTGAATATCAAAGTTCAAAGTGAAATCAAAATAAAATGAGATCGGAAAAGGCTATTAAGAAGATATAGTGAAGCTTGAGGAAAGGGTGGTTTGAATTTGAGAGGCGCCTAGATATAATGAGATTTTAAAGAATATTCACTGGACATACGAAGTGGTAATAGTAAGTGAGTACAATAAGATCCAAGCAAACAGTTTTATGAGGTGTGGAGAGATGCTAGAGAGGTTATATGATATTGCAATTTATGGATAAGGAGTAGACATGGTTTACGAATACCTAAAGATGGCAACAGAACCTTAAGAGGAAAAGTTTAAAAGTTCAAAATGGAATAAAACTGGTTTAAGGAGTGTCGATTAAATAGTTTCCGGGTCACTTTTTGCGGATACTCTGACAGAATGATATCTAAATTTATTATTATTATAATTATTATACGGATTATTAAATTAAAAACCTGATTATGACACACTGATTATTTCCATTTTTTCGCATATTGTTATAAGCATTATCAGCGATAGCAAAAATATGTGGTGGTAGCTCACCAATTCGGTGATTTCTATACAGTCGAATATGCTCAGTCGTATAAATCGGCAGGTCCATATATGGATTTATTGCAATTAATATCGACCCAGTGTATGTCTATAATAGTTCAGGCTAATAGCAAAAGATTTTTCAACTGTAAATATTAAATTTTACAATGCCTCTATCTGCATCTAACTCTCCGGCAAATGACGACGTCATCGTAGAAGTCGGTGGTCAGCAAAAATGGAGAATTTAAAAGTTACGCTCAGCAGATTTTCATCGTCCAGTCAAAAAAACCTACATAAATAAGCTTTTGCGAATATCTTATATAAAGATTTCTCATAACGCTGGACTCATGAAGATCATCAAGTTGAATCATATCTTCAACTCCTTGAATTGAAGTTGCATGCATTAATCGCATGCGACGATTCGGGGTCAACCATTCTTCCTTCAAATATAGTAATTTATTTATAATGTAGGAATTTATTTCAAAAACTTGCAGTTTTTTATTCAAAACTTAATTTTCCATTGCTGCAGTTTTGAAACAATGAGAAAAGTGCCAAGCTTGGAAGCAAAATAGTCAATTATTTTTACCTTTCCATGGTCGTTAACAACCTTTACACTATCTGCGCTTATTTCAATAACTTTTGCTGCAACAGGACACGAATATTGTTCATTTGGTAATGATTCAATCCATACGTAATCACCCTAAATTCTTTCAAAAATTGAACATTAACGTATTTAAATTATTTTAGGAATAGATATATGTAGGACAGAATTAGTTTCGCGGTGGCCAGTACATGGAATGGGTGTAATTCTGGCCCAATAACAGCAATAAGAGATGCAGACGGTGTTGGGAACGCATATCGCCAAGCAACCATCTGGCTAAATGATCCGATCAACAAGTAGAGTGCCATTTAGCCGACAATACTGGCCATGACATTTTTTCAATTTTTCTTTGTTGTTTCTAAGCATTGAACTAAACACAAAAATTCAATAAAAAATTTGGCGAAGGAATGCCATTTTTAATTTTTATTATTTTTATTTTATTTTTATTTATACATGAAATCTTAATATTTATTTATTATAAATATTAGGTAATTCATTAATATTTACGAATATCATTATTCATATGAATTGTTTATTATAAAAATTATTCTGGAAATCTGCAATAAAAATAGTTGCATAGTATACTAAATGTTAAAATATTGGTTTAAAAAAAAAAAAAAAAACAACTTACTTTTGTAACTATCACCATAACTACAAATCGGCCTCAAATATATGATTTTTTCCGGAAAATCTAAGCAATTATTTCACAAGTGGAGTAAAAAAGCCAAAAATTTTGGCTGTAAAGTAATCTACAACATTAATAAGTCATAAAAATGAAAAATTTTTACTAAATTTTTAAATTATTTGAACAGAATTTAAAGGTACATTGATGGATTATTTACTAGAATCTAAATGTGAAAGTGAAAAAGGATGTCCGGAGCAAAACTGAATAGGAAAGTAATGAAATAATACTGTCGCTGCCAATTAGATAACTTGAAAGTACTATGACTTTTCAGTTATCCAATCTCCATTTCCAATATTTTAGAGGAAACGTCTTCTAGAAATTTTTATTCTTTTTTCAATTTATAATTTATAATAATTTATATGTTTATTTTGACGAATTCTTATTTCAATGGCTAAAAACCTAAATTGAAGAAAGATCTAATTTGCAAGAGGAATAAGATAATGTGGCTATAGTCTCAAAATTTTTGATAACCAAAAGCAAAATGGATAGGTAAAATGGATAGGAAGGAACAAGTTTGAATGAACGTTCATTGTCGTCGAATAAATGAATACTATTCGCGATGAATTGTAAAGTATTATCTGGTTTTCTGAATATCTATTATATTACTTATTATTTAACTTTTTCGAATTGAATTGAAAAAGTATGGAAAAAATTTTACTTGAATAAAATATCATTAAAAAATTGTTCAATATTAATTTAATTTAAATACTCTTTTTTTCTAATTTTTTCTAATTTTTTATGAGAAAAATTTTCTAAAATTTCTAAGATTCCCAAGAAACAAAAAATTGAAAATTCTTAAGAATTTTCGATTTTGCTTGGAAAAAAATGTGTCATACTACCGATATTTGCTTTATTATCAAATAGAACAGACGAAGAAAATTACTCGACACTGGTTGTTAGTCACCTTTCAATAAACAAATTCTATTCAGTGAAATGAAATAATATTTTTTACGTGAAAAGTTTGCGAACATCTCGAAGATTTTTTCCGTTATTTTCAACAATTAATAGAAATTATTAGATAAATTAGTATAAATACGTGCGATTATCCACAACAATTAAAGCTGAATAACTTATCAATATATCAGTTTTATTATTGTCATTATCAGTAATTCGTCTTATCGGTATTAAATAGGAATTCATTTGCAAAAGTGATCCCATTGATCCCACATATCATTAATAATTAATCAACAATAATAATATTATAATCTTGAAATGAAATAACGGCCGAAAAAATTTGTCGTACATCAAAATGATCGTAGATGGAAAATTGCAAAAGTAGGGCACAAGTCGATATTTGATTAAATGAACAGCAATAGGTCAAAAAGTGTTGTTCACCCTTTGCATGCCGAAGGACGCTGTCTTCATGCGACTATCTAATGATTTCGAGAAATTCGATTTTGTAAACTAGTTTAATAGTGAAAATTGATGGTTTAATTTTAAGTATAAAATTTTTTAGAGAGAATATAGAATAGCTAATGAAAAGGAAGGAATTTAGTAATATTTACCAATTTCATCAACTTAATCATCAAGAAATTCATTGAATCTCCAGAGTGATAGGAATTACATCCAGTTTACGATGCAGTTTATCAACTTTTGTTCTTCTATTACCTAATTGCTAGCAAATTAATGAGATTAATAAATCATCAGCCCAAAGATAAATGGTAGAATTTAGTACCACTTTGGTGACATCATCTATATATAATAAAAAAAGCAATAGCGCAAAAAGTAGTGACAACTACCTTGGAACAACTTCCAGATTTAACAACTGTCATGTCAGAAAGAATGTCGTTGACACATAGCCTGGTGGCGGTCTCTTTTGTATAATCTAATACCTAGTTATACAGATCCGCTCTAATGCCATGACTATTAAGAATGATCAACAACTTACTATGGGAAATAGTATCAAAGGCTTTGGCCAAATCTAGTACAACTGATACTGTTTTCCCATTGTCAATTTGTACTGATGATTGTAAAATTTATTACTGTCATGGTAGGTTGGATAACATATCTCTACTGCAGGATTATCTCAAAAGAATATCCAGCTGGCTACATGATAGGCAAATTACCCTTCCTTTCCAAAAGTGTAGCGTTCTATATATAAATTCTAAAGGATTCGATCTTCCTAATCTTTTTATTAGTGGTAGTATAATCAGAAAAGTCTCACATATTTTCGATCTTGGAATAATCATTGGTCAAAATCTTGATTTCGACCTTCACGGCAGAACCATAGTAAAGAAATTTTCAAAGATACCAAATTTTAGTTTTCGTTCGTTTAAGAACAAAACAGAAGGTTTTTTCACCAAATTATCAAATTGTGCAAAGCCTTCATTCAGCCTCTTCTTGACTACAATACTAATGTCTTCTTTATTCGTACTATTAATTACTGGAATAAATTACCGAACGATATAGCTTGTACGTCCTTAGCTATCTTTAAAAAAGATTAAGTAATATCATTCATGATATTATTTGAAAAGTTCACATCATGCAGGAAGTGTGAAATCTCGATTTTTACCATCCGATCATATAATAAAGTTGCTTTGAATTGTACTACATTATTTTATTCTAATAAAATAGTACAGCACAATTATTTCCTCTTTGAATTGTTAATTTTTGTCATATTTTCCTTTTCTTATTTTTTCTTAATTTTTATTGTTTGTATTTTATTTTAACTGTTATCAATACAAGTACTAAATGCTAAATAATTACGAATGATAAACCAAAAATGAAAAGCAAATTTACAGGCGAATGAAATATTGAAAATGTCCCTGTCATGTTTCTTTTATTCCGTAAATTCTATAAATTATATGCAACAAATCTGTAAGGTTTTGGAAAATTCGACTTGGATTTGGCTTTAATTCATTTTTAAGTCGAATCTATTGAATTTATACATTAATACTTAAGTAATAGGGTGGAATTTAGCAAAATGCATCAAATGAATACATTTAACTTTTGAATGGTTTGAACAGAACACAGCCGCGCGATCGCGAAGATTATAACAATAAAAAAATATTAGTGGATAATGGAATTAAAAAAAGTATTAAAACAGTCAACAACATAATGATCCCATTAATTGTTCGCTTATTATAATTATTTGCAATCTCTTGCCATTTTTGGCCATTTATGGCCAGACTTGTTCCGCTGGCTTCTCGGGCCCAGCCAAATTTTACCAAAGAATCGATTGGCGACAGAAATATAGTTGAGTCACCAGCACCACCCGGAGATTTTAGATTTGCTGTTAGCAGTGGAAATGTTCAATAGAATACCAGCATAAACATTTCCGAAATGGGAGCAGTGCACTTACAGTTTTTGGCTATTGCATCCTTTAAAGAAACAAAGGTGGTCAAATAGAATGGTTGTTTCGATTTGTGCCGTTGCGTAGTTTCATAAGCTCGGCTTTCTACTCCTTAAAAAGAGTACAAAAATTTTAATTCTTTAGAAGGCTGAGGGCATCACCTCCAAATCTTCCTGAGAACCTATGTGAGGAATCTGAATCGCTAATGGTGAACGCTGTTTGCTTCTTCGTGCTTTAGCTAGCTTATAATGATTAATCTAAAAATTGCTCTCTTTCCAAATCTGTAACTCTTTAAAAGTTTTATAAAATTTTTATAAGAGCAAATGGTATGCTATTGTAAATAATGTCTTGCGCCGGGAAGACTTGAATATTTGCAACAAATTAGATTAATGATAATCAAGAAGCAACAAAATTATTTCCTACAGCCTTATAGAACTTGAAAAAACCTCGTCAAATTTTTTCGAAATCGTTTCTGAATTATCAATCTTTCTTTAACTTACTAAATCGAATAGCCTGAAATTCGGATCATCTGAATGCCATATTAAGAAATATTATGAAATATTATGAATTTAGTCTCAATTCTTCAGTTGTAGAAAAGCTAAGTCTATAATTAAATATTATTTTGTGTTGATAACATAGAAAAATTTATTTAGGTTTTCAATATAAATTTTTTGAACAAATTATCGTTGTATTGCATTATATTCTATGTCAATCATCATATTTTTTTCCTTGAAACACATACCACAATTTTATAGGGCTTTTTTCTTCATATTTCAGTATCAAATTGGTTTTCCCCGACTATTACGAAACCTTTTGCAGTTTCTTATGCATTTGCATATTAATGTTAATTAATTAAGAATTAGCAGCTTTTTTCAGAGGCAAAATTAAGATTTTAAGTCGTTCGTAAGGAAATTAGTAAAGTTTTTAATAAAATCTGATTGTTGTTTATTTGTTTGTTTATTTTTGTCAATATATAAATTTGCAAGTAAATTATCATAAACACGATTATGTTGCTGTATCAAGATAATGAGCCAATGTGATAATTCAAAAGGATCCATCAAATCTTTAGTGTCTCAGAATGATTGGTAATGAAACCAGATATACGACTAGCAGAAGTACATGTTGCGCGTAAAAATCTGGTAATTGTACTAAAACCTTCGAATTCGCTCTTTGGAGAATCGTTTCACTATACTTTATTATAAATTTTTTTATTTATTTCTTAAATATGAAAACACAATAAAAATAAAAATGATACAGCAAGAATCTTGTAGCAAAAAAATTATTTGCTTTATTGGTAAAATACTCGTGAAAAATTCTTTTGAAATCTTGTAAAACGCAAAGAAATCACAAAAAAAAGAAAAAAACGAAATTATTTAAAGCATATCACTGATGGCAATCATTCAGGCAATAGATATAAAGAAAAGCGTTTAGAATTTCCATCGAAAAATCTTACAACTCCTTTTTTTTACAAAAAATTAGCTAAGAAACAATCGCTCAATCAAATAATATAATAGTTAATAATAACTTTTAGGCAAATTGGCATTGGCGATTATGTCCAGTTCCAAGAAATTGTCGAACGAAGGAGTCAACTTAGAAATCAGTTAAAGTATTATATCAGAGGAAAAAGAAAAAAGAAAACAACTTGAAAATTTGGTTTAATTTAGTTTCTTCGCTAGTCATTTTTTTATGAGGGGAGATTATAGATAATCACATCTGGCTCGATTTACTAAATTATAAATTTATCAATAATTCGATAAATTTCCCATAAAATTTTTTTAAACTCAAAATCAATATATCAGTATGATAAGTATTGAATTTATTATCAATTGAAATGACTTATTGAATTTGTTATCAACGACAAGGACATTGAGACCTATCAATCACTTAAAAATTTAAAAATTTTAAGGATAATGAGCCAATGTGATAATTCAAAAGAATCCCTAAAGACAAAAACATCGTAGAACATATCGAAATACAAAAAAATACAAATCTCAATTGAATTTACAATCATTATGGCGAAAAATATATGAATTTTTTACTAAATTAAACTAAATTACATAAATACGAATTGAATAATTTTAAATCAAATCGTATCTATTATATTTATTTATTTGACATATATATATTATTAATTTTAATTTAATTAAAATTACATTATTAATTTATGTAAATCTAAAAATAATAACGAAAATTTCCAGTAATAATGATATTCGAAATAATCGAATCGCATGATTTTGTTTTATTGATTCGACTGTGGAATCAGCGAAATTTTTATCGCCGTGACCCTTATCATTATCATTATCATTATCAGCTGGTGGAAGCGGTTCTCCATCTTGATTATCTATACTCATTAATAGGTAATAATAAAAAATAAAAGTTGCAGTTTAATGTTTTCATAACGAAATTTCATGGAACAAAACTAAATTAAATTATAAATTATATATATTTATATATAAAAACGTTCCAATTTTTCATGAATTATAAAATTAATTCAGATTAAAGAAAAAGTAAAAAGAAAAGAAAAGTTTTATTAGTTAAATAAGAACCTTCATATAAATTGGCATCTTCCTTTTCATCGGTTTCACCAGAGGATATCTTTTGATTGCCATATGGTTCCAAATTAGGAGGACCTTGGACTTTATCCGGCTTAATAATACCACAAGTTGGACCTGTGTAACCTTCCAAACACACACATTTACCACATTCGCAGTTGCCATTGTTGTTACATAATTTCTGCAAAATTTCTACGATCTTATTTCTTACTTTTGTAAAATGAGCCACTATCCACTGATAATTAATTTATCGATCTCTTAAATCAGAACCATCATCGTGCTTTAAAAATGAAAAAAATTTGAATAAAGATTTTTTTCGAAATGGGACCAACCCCTCCATCCATACAGTTTTTCTCATCAAGTGTGCAAGTGCAATCATCGCCAGTAAAGCCTTCTTCACATCTACAAATTCCGCAATGACACTCGCCTTGTCCACCACATAGACGTTGTTCTGTATCTTTAGGACAATCCAAACCTTTACACTCACAGAAATGACCTGTTATCTGCAAAATTGAATGTTAGCAATTTTAATAAGTGTTCAGAATATTTTCAACAATTTTTCTTGGTGGTTAGCTGGAAATGTAAGAATTGAATAATCGTGGGAAATTACACCAATAAATTGCAGATTTTGTGAAATTTGAAACTAAATAATGATTGAAATTATAGAAATTATTGTTATCTTTCAAAAATCTATGATTGGATTAATATAAAAGTGAAATTACATGTGGAGCGTTGCAGTGACACTCCCCGCATCTACATTTTCCATTACCACTACAGACTGGTTCATCTTCACTGCTGAAATTTATTTTCATAAGGAAGGCTGAAAAAAACTAGAAATCAGAGCCAAATAAGAGTTTAGTGGCCACCACCTCAGAATTAGTATACTTCATTGGATTATAATACTCTCATTTGTGGAAAGAAATATCGGTCGGTTCCCAACACAGACTCGATTTTTTTTTTGAGGTCTATTAGGAATCATATGGAATCATAATGCATAAAAGATGATTAGGGATGACCGTTACATACTATTCAGCGGCAACAAAATATTGGATAACGCATAAGCATTAATAATTTTATCATGATTTATGATTTGAAATGATGATTATTCGTGATAATATTTCACTTTAAAACCAGCACTGATGGTAAGAGATAAGATATGAATTATGATCGATGCTTGCATCACTAGATGATCAAAGAACTGACGCTCTACATTTGCTTTCAAGTTCATCCGCAGTGTTAACACCGAAACTTCTTAAATCGCAGTCGCAGTTATTACCTCCTCTACCATGAGCACATTCGCATCTACCACATATTAGGTCTCCGAAACCACCACAATAAGGTGATCTTTTCTCCTGGAACTTCGAATTTTTTATGCAGATGAATATGAACATCATAAAATCGTAAAATTTTCCTCACTTTCTAAAATTCAGTTCCTTATTATGCGACAAAAGTTCAACAAGTTCATAGTTCCGTGTGAAATGTCCAATAACTTAACCAGCAAGATAATCCAACTGGTAATTGCTGAGTTAATTCTACATCCAATCTATTGGAAAAATTTGGAAAAAACCTGATTCTGCAATTTTTCGCAATCACAGCCACAAATAGGTGTTATATAAATAGCCGATACCGTGCGATATCCATAAACTCCGATAGAAATAGCAATATCGCCTGAGGCTATACATTTGTTTAGAGAAACTTTCGCAACAAAATTGATTTCTTCAGATGCATTTATATCTTTACACCTTCGACCTGATACAAATACGCTGAAATAGTTTAAAATTTTCATGAAAGTTTAAACAAAATGAAAATAATAATCCAACCTCCATGCCGATAGGCTGCATTAAATATTGTTGAAAAGACTAGGGCAAACCATAAAAATTAAAAGTCAGATCTTTGGAAATCCTTGAATATTTAGGGATGCAGAATAATAATAATCTACAACGTTAAAGTATAGATGGGGAAAAATATTGCAAACCACTTGTTAAAAATGGGATAGAATAAACTATTGACAAAAATATATATTAGCTCTTATAGAAACTGTGGCCGAACAACAAAAGCACAAGGCTATTTTGCTTATTACCGTTTGTTTCTTATTGGTGTCGTTAGTTGGTTTAAAATCCCTTGTCAAATCTATTTGAAATTGTAATCCCGTTTCTTTCTTCTTTTTTGAATTTGTAAACCCGGTTACCCTTTACTTTTGCCGTTTGATGACGAAATAGTTTCTATGAAAGTCAATACTTACCCATGGCAAATAACACCAAAGTCAATTCCTATCCCTAAGGAATTAAACTCGCTCGTCAAAATGACGAAATCGGTTTGCTCATCTGCACTGAGACGCATATATTTAAATTTCACTTCATGAATCGTTCCTATAAGACACCTGTATTCTTAAAATATTTGTTACTTTTGGTTCATAATAGCATTCAAAGAAATTTTCCTCAAGCAATCCTTCTGACCATACCAATCTCCTATGGTCAAAGGAGATGGTGAGATCACGCAATCACGCAATAATATTAGAATTAGAAGTTTACATTTCACAGATTTTTATCTTTGTTTAGCAATTATAGGAAACCTGTGCATTAAAATATATTACCTGGTTTCATCCTTAATATCACCTGTTGCGGTTCAAGCTGAACAATCGAACCATCATAATGTCTGCTTCCCAGAGGGTAATTCTAAATTTTTTTAATGTTATACAATGGTTCTCGAGGATTAAAGCAAAATTAATGAAGCCTTAAACTTACATGCTGAGATGCAATTTTCTGTTCTGTTTTTGGATGATAAATTAAATGTTCGGAGCAATTACGATCCATTAATTGTCGAGTATCACACCGATATGGTCCTTGCATGAACTAAAGAATAACATTTTAACGTCAAATATTGCTCATAATTGCACAAATTTTCACTTTAACAGGAATTACATAACAAAAAACGAGAAAAATTACTAACAGGATCCAAGCACCATGCACAATCAGGATGTTGCTTTATACATTGACCACAACTTTTGCTAGCCATTGAACTCCTACATAGTTTCTTTATGTCTGCAGAAAATGCTGAAAATAAATTTAGGAATCTGACGGGTTTGCTGAATTTTTACTCAGTCAATGAAATTGTTTAACTTAAATGATAATTAAGCATCCAATGGGCTTAAACAAGGTTACATTAAGATTCTTTTTTTGTTATCATAGATTAATTCATTTAAATTTGTATTGTAAATTTGTAAATTTGGGATTGAATGGTCAAGCGAAATTTTTTTTCGATTCAAATTGCCCTTTCAGGGCCATTAAAAGCAAAAATTCTTTCTTAGGTTCCAGCTTGGTATGTTTCTACTCATAGAATTCTCTAAACACTACTCTTTAATAAGCCAGGAAATCAGAGCAAATGTTGAGTGCTGGTAGGAACGGACGAAAATTGTTAGAGGAGGAAATTTTTTATAGCAAATCAGTTGATTGATGAAGGAAAGGAGGGGACCTGTGGTTTCAATGAATAAGAAATGATGTATTTAATCCGATCACTAAGCAAAATTTAGAAAAAAATTCGACTAAGGAGAGATATTCTACAATAAATATTGGATAATAAATATTGGATATTTAGATGAATCAATCTAAACTGATTTTTCAAATAGAAAAAAAATTTATAAAACATTTCGATCTCGTGTTTTGTTCATCAACTTATTTTTAATGAGATAAATAAAATTGTTCCGCAAATATTTTTTCGTGATAACTCAAGGTATGAAAAATTTACTATATGGTTTCATATTATAACCAAATTATCGTTTACTAAAGTAAAATGCTCGCAAGATGCAACAGGAAATTGGAGTATATCAGTGGCCATAGCAAAGTTTAACATTAATGCGATTCAGGAGAATAAGACATTACAGTTGTGCTTTGGCAAAGAAATCCAGTAGGGTTTAAGTGTTAAGGATTAAGGAAGTTTATATAGCAAGTTATAATAAAATTATTATGGGATTCTAAGTGTTCTAGCGTTCCAATGGGATTTGTTTCACCAGACGAATCATTACTAATTTGATAAGAAAATAATTAAAAAACCACTCACCACTGTTCAGCCAAAGAAACAATAAAAATAACTGTCGTATGGTCCCCATGCTGAAATTCTGAAAAAAATCAAAGGCTTTAAAAAATTTACGAATAACAATGAAATAATCGCATTTAGTTTTTCAAAATTATAGTCGATGTAGCAAAAGAATGGAACTACACAATTCTTCAAACTATGCTTTTTTATCTCGAGTTATCACAACAACTACACGAGGCCTGAAATAAAAAAACGAACTTCCGGTAAGCAGGTGATGCCCACATGATATTTGGACTCCTGACGTCCATAAGCGATCTTGCAAACACAAAGGATAGTTTTTTATTTCCTCAAAATGTCTCCATTATTTATCTTAGCTCGAGAACTCATTTTTTCTCAAACCTTAAATTTGTTCTCCCAGGTTTACACACTTAAAACATATGCCATAATGAAATCCCTTGAACATCCATCACTTTAATCCTTTAATTATTTAAGAGTATCATGCATACAAAGATTCGGATATTGCATTACTCTCTTTCACTATAGAATCACTTTGGAATAAATGTGCAAATGGATCTCCAGCAACGGCGTTCTTATATATGTATATATATATATATATATATTACCGTCAAAAGAAGAAAGGAGCAAATATTATAACCGAAAATTTTGGATGGTATAAGTAATGAATATTTACATTACTATTACTACTATTATTATTTGAGAGAAAAGAAAAAAAAACAAATAAATAAAAAAGGAAAATAACCACTTCTTTTCAATATTATTTAATTTAGAAACAAAATAGAAATTAGAAATTCACAAAATTCAAAGAAATTTTGTTGAATGAAAGCTGGTAATATACTTTTAAAATTTTCGAAATTCATGCGATAATATATATGCGATGGTATAACATTGATATTATGTAACATGGTGAAAGGTGATCGAATTGGCCATGGATCGCTTAGAATAGTTTCGATGTCTTGATAAGAACAAGCTTATTAATAAAAATTCGGTGCTAAGGATCCACTTATGCTTTTATTCCACCAACTGACTCACTGGCAAAAGGGTCTCATCACCACTTCAATGAACACAATTAAATTGTGAATGGTAACTGATAAGGAGATAACGGTGGGTAACTGATATATCTGTCCACTTAAAATGGGAATGTAAGATTTCAAAGAAAATGGACAAGGATAAATGATTGCCGATAACCACAATAGCACGATTGAGTTTTGTGAACCGAAATGCTTGTTCAATTTAGTTGATAGGATATTATGAAAAAATTGTTCGCATAGAAGTGAATTGATTACTTTCTTTTAAAAAAAAGCCTAAGCCCCAGTTCTTATCTTAAATTTTCCACATTTACTGTATTCTCATTAATCTTTTACGGCTTAAATTTAACATATGCTAAAATTCGTTAATATAATCAATCGAAATCAACAATATAATCAAAACAAATAGTCATAAATCACTGGAAAGAAATGTTCCAAGGAAGAACCAAGAGATATACCACGAAATATTCAAGACAATCGCATTATTTTGAGCTATGAAAAAGAAGATCAATTAACGAAGGCCAATACTTCAAGTCAAAAGTGAATGATAATTGATATGTGAACAATGTGAACAATTTGTGATAGTTTTATGCTTTCTGCAGTGATAATAATAATGATAATACGATAATTACAGAAATACAATGGATAGATGTAAATTGTGATTTTAAATAAACAATTTAGATTTGTTCAAAGATTACACGATAAGTATTGTTGACAACTGTAGCGAATTACAATCCAATTAATCTTGTGCGAACTTCTCATACAGCAGTTTTCGCCAACTGGTCGATTTACTGCGTTAAACCTAGCAAGAACAACAAGTTACAACAGTTTTCGAAAAAAACCAAAGCTTTTAATGCCTAAATTTTGCTGCGGACCACCACTATCCACAAGTGACTTTAGCCGAAAGTAATAAATTATTTCTGGTCAAATAATCCAAAAGTCATTAGCTAATGAAGCCAGCCTAACAATTTTAGTTTTTCAAAGAGGAAGAAGAATTGCCAATGCAGAAATGCGTTTGATGTAGAGATTTTCCACCATAATAAGAATAATAAGCCAATGAAAATTAGAAAAAAAACTTCTTTGAGAATTTTTGCAAATTTAGTTGCAAATAAAAATCAGCTGATAAAATTTGTTAAAAATTTGAATAAAAAACAAAAAGTAAAAGAGAAAAATGAGAGAATTTATAATTATAATTATCTAATCATTCTAAATGATAAATTTTTATATATGTATGTTTTAACATTTTGGTTTTTTTTCATTTTTTTTCTTAGTGGTTCAAGCGAAATGGCACAAAAATTACACAATAAATTTTACAACTGGAAAACCCTCAAAAACTTCAAATCCAAATAGTATGCAAACAGCAAAAAAAGTTAGTTTTTTAATAGAAATTAAGCCATAAAAACTAAAATTAAATATTAAAAAATTTTACATTTGCTATTAAAAAACTATTTGGAAAAAACTATCATATTTATTGCAAGAAAAAAAATCGTTTTATTGCAAATATTTAATGCAAGTGAAAAAGTAAATATAATATAATATATTACATTTAGTAATATTGCAAACTTAAAAATTTGCAAAAATTTATTTATTCAAAAAACCAAGTCCATAAGTCGGTGCATATCACCTGACAGCGCCAGTCCATTATGGATTAGGGTCGAGTATTTTTCGCTATGATAAACAAAATTTCATGTAAACTGGAAAAATTTCCGCTAATAGGAAATTAAAAATTTGCAAAAACCTTAAGAAAATATTGCAAAACCTTAAGAAAATATTGTCATATCATTTTTTTTTCTTTGATTTAAGAATTTTCACAAAAATTTATTAAAATTATTCTCAAAAATCGAAAATATATGAACATCAAAATGATTTATGAATAATAATTGAGCCATTGAATTGTTGAACAATGAATGTGAAGAAAATTTTTTGTAACCGATTGACTTATTTTCCTGGGGGCTCAAACCGACTAAAGCGCACCCCTTTCTTCCAATTTATGCTGCAGCATGATACTTATATAAATTTGCTACTATTTCCGTTCTTTTTGTGAGCGAAAAAAGCAGCATTCACTATTTTCAACACCTAACATTAAAAATTTTGTATTATTTTGCAGGAAAGCTTGGATTTGAAATTTTTAGACAATAAATTTAATAATCTTGTATAATAAAGGAGGCATATTGCAAATAAATACAATAAAAATTAAAACGGTCAGTAAATTAAAATGAATATATCAAGCAAATTTTTTTGAAAAGCGTGTATCATATCTTTTTTTTCTAAAAGTCCTCACCATCACTGGTTAAACTCGCTCCGCTGGCTTGTCGTACTGAACAAATATGCCAGGGAGTCCCTTGAAATGCAAATGAGTCGCCAGCATCACCCGGATTTTTGGATAGGTTTACTACTGCCGGAATCGAACCTGAGCATCGGCAATAACCCACTGAGCCATTCTATGTATCATGTATCATATCTAGCTAAATCCGGCTTGTCGAATGAGGCAAATTTTGGTCGAATGGCGAAAGAAGATTCCCAGCCACATGCAGATTTTCGAAAAATATTCATTCATTGCCGTGGTTAATTTCAAAATTGGCTCAACGAAATCAGAGCAACAATTCATTGAGCCATACAAATGAAATTTAGCGGATTAAGAAGCAAAATTAAACAAAAAATTCAAATATTTCAGGAAAATATTTTTCTGAAAGAAATGCTTGAAAATTTTTTTCTATCACCAACCTTGGATAAGTAAAATAAAAACAAAAAACTTAGAAACGAGACAAGGATGGCGAATTTTAGCAATAAATACAATCAATATCATAGTTGAACAGTTGTTCCATTGAGAGTTATCGTGAACTTCTGCATACGTACTTCCTACTATCGTATTTATTACTTTTATCCGATCTAATGACACAGCAAATTATGTTAATGTAGTAAACTTAATACTAATAT